CGCCAGAGCAAGTGAAGAAGGTCTACCGGCGGGCAGTGCTTGTCGTTCATCCTGACAAGGTAAGGTTTTCCTAGTTTCACATTGTTCAGAAATTGTCATTGTTCTCTTAATTATAAAGTGTTGAATGTGATTGCTTAATTTATTGGTGCAAACAGCTTTGTAGAAAGTAGTAGTTCAAGATTTTTGCCAGTTTCTGAAAGGTGAGAACTCTAACTACTCCCAGCCCCAAGAGTGTGTTTGGTACGTGCTGCTCCAAGCAACAGAGGTTCAGATCTTCAGCTTTTGTCACCCTCGCTTTGACTCTAAGCCATGCTGGTGGTGAACAACAGTCCAGAATATTGTGCCTGCTAAAGGAGACGAGGGTGTGATAAAGGCATATGAAAGGACAAGGGTCTTAAAATCAAACTTCTAAAATGGAAGAATCAGGTTATCTGATTTTCCAACTTGTGGCTTGTGGTCTTGCTGCTTACACTTGCCAGCAAGAGTGCAATGACACCATCTGGGAAACCCTATGGTGATGAGTCTTCCATTTTTAAGGAAGTGGAGGGCCTGAGAGTTTCAGGGCAATGGGCAAGGCTTGGGAAGTTGTGGACTGCCCAGAGGCTTGCAGGAATCCTGCTTTTATCAAGGAACTGTCAGGTGGCAGCTCTTTCCCTTCAGTGCAGGTAAAATGCCTCTTGCAAAGCCTAGGTCAAATTTTTTTGCCCTTGGGACTGCAATGCCTTATCACACTTGGGGGGTTATCAGCTCTGAGGAGCAGAAGAGCTGAAGAACCAATAAATTCTTAAGCTGTAAACAAGGTAAGCAGCCCTCAACAGTAGCTTATTCTTGTCAAAGAATAAGGGAAAACCATTTGTGGAAAGTGAACAATAACTGCTTGAGAATCTAGCTGCTCAGATGTCAACTTTTTGTAGTCTGATTTGGTAGATGTGATATCCCTCTTTCTGTTTCTATTCCAGGCTACTGGGCAGCCATATGAACAATATGCAAAGATGATATTTATGGAGCTAAATGATGCCTGGTCAGAATTTGAAAACCAAGGACAAAAACCCTTGTATTAGGTACTTTCTCAGTCTCCACTACAGACCTGTGCTAGTGCTTATATAGTCTCTTGTCACAAATGTCACAGATCAACCAAACTCTGGCTGGAAATTCAGAAGTTTCAGAAAACGAAGAGCCTAATACTTATCATGAAGAACAAGAGAAAGGTTTCCTTATATTTGTATCAAGAATCGTGAGCTCAGAGGAACTCTAGCCACCTGGCTTGCCCTATGCAAGCCACGGGGTTACAGTTTCTTGTAACTTTTGTATTTTTCGTTGGATTCAAGTGGGGCAAGAGAGAACACATTCTGGGAAAAGGTGGAATTGTTCTGTCTCTGACACAGCATAGCTGGTGAATTTCCTACTTTTTTTGTGAGGCGTGATATGGTAACACTTCAGTTGAGTTCAGTAACTGGTGATGAAGCCCAAACTTCGATGTACTTTCTTCCTAGGTTTGGATCAAACTTTATCAAATTTAAGTACTCAGATGTGGTTTAGGCACACTTCTAACAGTCACCATTTGCTGCTTAATTGCTCATATAGTATAGTATGCCTGAATAGAGACAAAGCTGAATCCTGGGTTAGATCAGTGTGGCAGCTGACTACTGCTTTACACATTAATACTGTACTTCACCGCATAGTCCAGCAGTGAAATGTGCAGAAGAAATTCCTCAGCATTATAGAGCAAGTGTCTTTTAAAGCAAACAAGTAATTGATGTTAAACAGCACCTTGTTGGTTTGTTAAATAGCAGTTCTGGGGGAATAGGGAATTGGGGGGGAAGGGTGAATCCACATCTGTGAAAGTGAGGAATGAGCATGTACTGCATTTCCCATGAAGTTCTCATCAATAGCTTGAAACCATCAAACAAAAGACATATCAACAAACTAAAACTCTGCTATAAAGTTTTGGAAACTTCCCAGTCTATAGGTAACACTTTCCCTCCTGAGGATTCAGAAGCCTTTTTCCAGCCCACTTGTGTCACCTCTATGCCTTTATCAGCTCCAGAGCACTTGGCAAAGGCTCTTGGCAGAATGCAACCTGTTGCAACTTCACTTTTCAGACCACGGTGTACAAGCTGTCGTGTAGACATCTGTGGACCAGGTCTGATTTTTGAGGTAAATACAGTGCAAACTGATTACCTTAAAAGTTTATATTGGACCAAAGCAATAATTTCACAAGGAAATATCTCTGACGCTAAAGCTGAAGCATCTTTCCTAGTTAAACAAGTTATGCTCTTCACCCCTAATTCTGGCATTCTCCTTTTGTAGAATAACTAAAGCTAGCGGTTTATTTACCAACATGTTGTATCTGTATTTGAGCGTTGAAAGGGCAGGTATATTCAGAAGATGGGCAGGAAATAATTTGTATTTACTGCTTAAGGAACAGGTTGCCATCCGATGTGAGCCTTTAAAGCTGGTGGTTTTTAAAGACAATCCACTTGTTACACTTACATTTTCAAGTGGCAAAACTTTTACTGCAAAGACAGTGTGTCAAAGTACATTGCTTTCTGTATAAAAGTCATCCTTTCGTTGTATTGGTCCATTATTTACTACCATTAATTGAAAATGTGAAACCAACACATAGGTCTCCTTTTATATAAAAGACCTTAAGATAATAGTAACAAACTGGATGTTATTTATTAATGTTTTGATCCAGTATGTGCTTGTCTTATTTAAAGAGATAACTGGAATGTGAATCATGTTCCTGTGATTTGTTGGTTTATTGTTTCTCATTCACATTTGTAGATATTGTGACCTATGCCTATATAATAAAAAGGATCTCATTACTACAATGTACTTTTTTAATAATGAAAACTACATTAGCTTTGTATCGAGTTTGTCATGGCACATAACTCTGGATACTCATACATTCACAAAATACAAATCCATCATTAAACTTTATCTACCAAAAGAAACCCTACCCCACTTAAGCTTTGATTACTTCCATCACTGATGTTTTTATGGATGCATGAAAGTATTAGGACGTATGTATATCAAAATAGTTAACTAAAAAAAAATTTTTTTCTTGTCATATCTGGTAGTGACAGAGGTTATCAATGTTCAGGTTTACTGTTTGACTAAATTATTGTAATTTTTGTAAATACAGTATATACTCAATTAAATTGTGACTGGTCTAAAACATTTGTATATACATTAAAAAGCTCAAATTAACATATTCAGGTATCTTTTGTGCTTGTGGGGAAAAAACCTCTACCTTCTTGCTTTAAACACAGTTCTGAGTAATTTCTCTGCAAATGCTGGATAAACAACAACAAATCCATGTATGTTAAATGGAAACTTCTTTTGTCTATACAATGTCTTACATGTATGACTAACACCTTTTGCTCTAGTGCAGGGTTGGGTGGGACCTGTGTGGTACACATAAAGGTAACCATGAATTACTTGCTCTAGAGACAAATACTTTTTTTTCTAGAGCTTTTATTTCCTCAAGAGCAAACAAGCTACATGAAGAAGCCAGTTCCCATTACTGCAAGCAGACTGTAAGAACAGTAAGGTCTTAATTTAGACATTTGCAATGCGAAAAGATGCAGCCTTTCGTGCTTAAGAGAAAAACCCTTCAACCCAGCTGAAACAGAAGATGGTAACTTAACTTGTTTCTACCTTTTGATTGTTTGGACAAGTTAAGTCGGGGGTGTGTGTGTGTGTGTGTATATATGTATTTATTGTAGCTACAAAGCCATTTACATTAGCAGCAGCTGTACCAAGATGTAAGCTTGTATTAAAACTCCTACGGGTTTTTTGCTTGTTGATGACAGCCACAGGATTTACAGTATGGGAGGGTACAGTGAAAGTGTCTCCATATCATTTTCTGTTTGCATGCCTCGAAATAAGCCCAGAAATGCTGAGCTCGGTAGCTGCTTACAAATTGTGACCAGACCACAAGGTTAACATCCTACACCAGCTCGCGTGATACGGGTGGTGTGCCTCAGCCAGTATCAATATTGCCTCTTAAAGTGGTCACTAATGCTGTGTGGTAATTCACAGGTTGGCAAGACATTTTGGAAACAATTCGTCACTTCCTATTCTTATGCTACTTATGCTTCAGAGACTCAGAGCCAAACAAGTCAGCAAATGTAGCACTTAGCTAAATGCTTCAAGTGAAAATTTTGTTGCTTAAGCCTGCTGTTTTAATTAGGCAGCCTTCTTGGCTCTAAATCATTTAAAATTAATAATGAAATTGGGAAAAAATCTGTATCAGAGAAGATATGAAACAAGAAGAAGAGCCAAAAGGCAGAGATGGGAGATTATCTAAAGAAAATCTCCCTCGGCAGGTGTATCCAAAGGGCTGTGCAAAATCTCCCACAAAAAGGCCGTTCTTGGGTCAAAAATGGAGTCCTAAAAATCTAAGGCTCGAAAAATACTGCTCTAAAAAAATGATGTGCCCTTCTCGGTGCAGATTAGAAGCAGCGCAGGGCCCTGTCAGAGGTGGATGATCCAGATCCTGAGAAGGCACCATATGAAACGAGCAGGCAGCTGGGCCCATCTTTTGGGGTGAAAACAGGGGTTTTAAGGAGCAGCCTGCAAAATGGCTGTGACTGAGGAGTGGGGGCTCTTTAAAACTGTGTTTATATATTTAAATCCTACCTGTGCACACATATATATCTGCTTACATGTATACACACCTTACATATACATGTATATGCATGCTTGTGTGTATATACATTAAACACCCGCCCCAAGGCCTGACTGGAGGCAGCGAAACACCGCCCCGTAACCACGGCGACGGGTGGCTCGCGGCCCGGCCGCTTCCCCACGGCGAGCGACCGCCCGCGCCGTCAACAAGTGCGCTCCCCTTTCCCGAGCGAGGGCGGGCCCGGGAATCGCCTCATAGGTAGGGGGCGGGGCAGCCCGGGAATCGCCTCATAGGTGACGCCGGCCCCTTCAGGCGGCCGCTCACGTGGTGCAGGAGGAGGCGGGGTAAAGTGGCCGGTAGGCGGAAGTCGCCCGCCGCCACCTCAGCTCAGCGTCGCTCAGAGCCCCGAACATGGCGGGCATCAAAGGTACCGAGTGCTCCCGGCCCGCTGCTCGCGGGCCAGGGTCCCACCTCTGAGGGAGCAGAGCGACCGGGTTGCGCTTCCGCTTCCCAGGCATTGCCTCAGCGGGGGGGCGGGTGTCGCGGGGAGAGGTAACCGGTAACCGGTGAGGCGGCTTCCGCCTCACCGCCTGTCTTGTGCCGTTGCAGCTCTCGTGGCGCTGTCCTTCAGCGGAGCCATCGGGCTGACGTTCCTGATGCTGGGCTGCGCCCTGGAGTACTACGGGTGAGCGGGCCGGCTTCGTTTCCAAAACTTCCCCCTCTTTATATATGTTAATTGAGGTGTTAATCTCATTTAATGGAGCAGTTTGGCTCTAGTTATCTTCTAGCTGCTTTTTGGCTCTTGGCACATGGCGGTTTGTTAGGATTAAATACCACCTCCTTAGCCAGTACTTGCGTTTCCATTAAAAAATGACTGAAAACAGCTCTATACTTTCTCAGAAAAAGCAGTGCCATCTTGCTAAACAGTCATTTTTAACCTCGGACAATTCTTTCCCTTACTTCCCTGTTTCTTTAAACAATCCTTCTATCACAAGACTCCGACTGGGATGTCTATTACACTTAAAAATCCAGGTGAAGCTAATGAGAGGACTCCCAAGGAGATGAGCGTGCAAGGGTGTGCCTTCACAGTCGGCTTGTTTATACTCCAGGACCCCTCTAATTTGGGAAAGCTCTTGGTTTCCATCCCGCTTGCGTGCATTTCCTGTGCCCTGTGTGTGGTGACTGTTGTTTTTGTGAGGCGGTGGTGTGAGTTGAATCAGCAAGGTGGTGCAAATTTAAATAAATTAGATCCTGCTCTGCACGAAGCTATATGAGTGCTTGTGCCAGTATGCAGGGAAAATGAGGTGGGATTGCCCCTTTGGGTGAAAGCGTGTGGTTAAATCACGTAATCCACTTTTCAGACCATAAAGTAGGATTACAGCTGTTGCAAATATTTTTTCTAAACAGAAGATATTTTTCATTGAAGCATCTGTCTAAACTGATTGTGTATTTCCTTTTTCCCCCCTCCCCAGTGTATACTGGCCTCTGTTTGTCTTAATATTTTACTTCATCTGCCCCATTCCCCACTTCATTGCAAAAAGAGTAAGTGATGACAGTGATGCAGCCAGCAGTGCCTGCAGGGAATTGGCATATTTCTTCACAACTGGAATTGTTGTTTCTGCCTTTGGATTTCCTATAATCCTTGCACGGGTCGAAGCGGTAAGTTCTGGTTGCTAATTTTTATTGTAAGGCACCAGTTACTGAGTATAATCTTTTAAGTGCGCTGTTGCGGTTTGTGAATCCTGTCTTTAATTTCACTACTGTGATGTTTCTAGATTCTGATGAAAATAATCACTCTGCTGAAATTTTGTCTGTTAATACTGCTTTTTAACCTGAACAAAGGACTTGCATGACTGAAAAGTTTTTAGCTGTTTTTTTTTCCAGCTTTGTTTTGGTCCAGTACAAGATATTATCTCCTCTTACATCTCATGCCTCTCTGTCTCATCAACTTTTGCACCGCTTCTTGGGCCACCTTCTTTATTTTTATCTCAGAATGTCTGCTTTCTCCATTTAGGATGCTGAAAACTTGGTGACTGGAGTGCATTATCAGTTAAAAGATAAAAGGCCAAACTTCCAGAGCTGCCCTTCTGGTTTTCAAAGCATTTCCCAAGCTCATGCTTTGTCCCCTCAAAGTCTGAGGAAATTCTGCTAGCTTCTTTTCTCTTTGCTTTCTGAACTGCTCTTCAGTGGTGAGATTTTCACATTTGTTTTGCAAGGCAAAGAACTCTTTCATCCTGTCTCCCAATGATGTTTTATGTGTTGCGTTGTTTTTCCCCTTCAGTCTTTCAGTTTTGCTTAAAACTTGTGTGCTTAGTTTTAATTTCGTTGTAATGCACAATTTCCCTGACACTGCATTTTTGTTTTTAAGTTGTGGACCTGACAGTAGGCAGAACCAGAAGTGACCACGAGGGGGAACTCTAATTCATAGCTATATCTTTTAAGAGTAAATGTCGTTTATTTGAGTAACCACAGTCGGGCAGATCGTTAAAGAAAGCTATTTACCTTTAAGACTACGTACAGTTTTCCATGCTTGTTACTGGCATTTATTTGAAAGGTGATCTTTTATTTTGTTGCGTACCAATTAAAGGGGAGCACTAGTTTTCACCAGATTTTTTTCTATGGCTTAGGTATGTTTTAGTGATTTGTATGGCAAGGTAATTATTTTGTTCTAAAACATAGCATTATTAGCCTGTCTATTGAAGTGTTGTATTAGTAGTATGAGTGGTTGCTAATTGAATAATTAGTCACATAAATTGAATTATTTATTGTTTGTCTTTTTTCTTTATGCTTTTAGCACCTTTCTGTAGTATTTCGTTTAGTTTATCTAATGCATATAAATAACTGGCCTAAACCTATCTTATAAGAACTGCTTTGATTGTTTCATTTCAGATCAAATGGGGAGCCTGTGGTCTGGTGCTGGCTGGCAATGCAGTCATTTTCCTTACTATTTTAGGCTTTTTTCTTGTGTTTGGTAGAGGAGATGACTTTAGCTGGGAACAGTGGTAGGACATCGCTCTGATGCTGGTAATATTTTACAGCATGTATCACCATATGTATACTCTGTGTGTGTATATGTGTATATATTATAACATATGTGTGTGTGCACGCTGAGATGTATGTATGTGCATATGCCTGTAGTTTTACATTATCAGATCATAACATGCTTTTTTAAAATGCATTTCAGCCAAAGGGAAAAGGCCCTTGTGACAGCTGTCTTAATGTATTCAGTAAAAGCTGGAATCACTGTTGCAAATTTGTCCCCAAATAAGTTTACAAAACATAAGCTGTTTTACTCATTTTTTCACTATATATGCATTAACTTTTGTTTTAATCACAGTAGTATCATTGATACATGTGATATTGATCAGCATGCCTGTTGTGTTTTTTTAACCATGTAATCAAAATAGGCCAATACAAAGATTGTCCTACTTGGTATTGTTCAACTTGATCAATATTTCTGCTTTGATTAGGGATTGATGAATACTTGCTTTTCATTTAAGTAATTGTAATTTTAGTGTTTTTTCTTGAAAACATAAAAACAAACATAGGTTATGCCAACTCTTTTACTACCTAACGAAAGAAAAAGAAAATAACCCTGGTTAAAAACCCTTCCTTCCACTTATGGTGTTCATTTAAAAAATAATTCCCCCCACAAGATGCTCAGGCTTTGTCCCTATTCAACTTAACTGTGGATGTATTTTGGGAATAATATACTTTAATGCCTCTTTAATGCTTTGAGCTGACATTACTTCTCTTATGAAGATTCACAAAAGAAGAAACTATGCTCAGGACACTTACAATCATGATGTAGTTATACAACTCTGTATTCTTATGTGTGAAATGCCTGAATTGCAAAGTGAGTGTTCTGCTGGGTAGGACTTTATCTCCTCAGTTCTCATTGCTTTTAAAACATACTTGTTCAACTACTATTTTTTTTGTCTGTAAGAAGAGATTGTTATATTAAAACACTATATTTTTAAATGGCATTATTCTAGTAAACATTCACATAATCGCACTTATAAAAGTAAACTTTATTACGGTTTTGACTTGCTGAATCCTGCAAATTGTGGAGGCACGTAGTTTTGCAAAAATGCACTCTGATACAACCCTAACTCTAGAAGACATTTCAATATCTGCAAAGGGGTAAAGGAAGAGATACCTTAGTTTATTCTTTCATAGAAAAATGGACATAAAGAGGTTTCTGCTCTGTGAAGTAAGAAGCTGAATTCCTGCATAGGGTGTATTTTACTATTGCAAGTTCTTTAGACTAGCAGATGGCAAATGAGTGTTTATAGTTGTGTGAGTTAGTTCACAGCTGACTGCTATCACCTTGTATAGCTATGAGGGACATTGTATAAGGAGGTAATAGAATCCACCCTACAAGATGTGGCAGCTTCACCAACGCAGTGCTTTTTGCCCCCTAAGTTGTATGGAACTACTTATGCTGCTCTCCAAACTCTCTCAATACTCATGTACTGCAAAATGGTGTCCTGTGGATTGCTGTGCAGAGCAAAGGTTCAAAAATTAATGAATTTTACATGAGTGCTCTGATCCTGGGTCTTCTGTTCATGCTCAGTGCCCTAGAGGAAGGGTACAGAAATCATTCTGTGGTCCAAGTAATGTAGTATCACTTAAGTAGGAATGGAATATCATGTTTCAGGAAGATTAATTACATGTTTTAAATTTAAACTTCAGATGTGTGTAAGGTGAACAGTTCAGTACTGAGGAATGCTGAGTAGCTGTATTTTATACTGAAGTGTGTCTAGGCTGTCATTTGTGTAAAAGAAGAATTAACATTAAAAGGCAGTTTTCTCTGGATATTAATGCTTCATCAAAGACGTAGCAGGAATATACTTGTAAAGATGCTGTGCATAAACAAGTTCTCTTACAGTGTCTTCTTCCTGACTTAGGTGAAATCTGTTGGACCCTACTGATTTGTAAAGTACTACCAGGGAAATTATTTGTTCTAATTATGAGCCGGGTTGTTTAGAGTAATCATAGTTTCCATGTACAAGTCCTGCTTTGATTTTTTGAGAAGTTGCTTTTTTCCCATACCATGGCATTTTTCATTCAAATTGGTGAAGTAAAACAGCAACAATAATACACAGTTTAAGTGCCTGATCCTGTAAATGCCTGAAGTCATTGCTAGCGATTCTGTTTAACTCCTGTTAAAGTACTCGTGTGCTTGCAGGGTTAGGTTCTTGAGTATTTTTCCTCCTTAGAATTTATGTACCAAAGGCTGCAATACAAGTCTACAAAATTACTCAATTACTGATGAAATTTTGCTTTCAAGACAGTGGTGTGAAAAACAACTGAGATTAATTTTTCTTTAAATTAGAGAATCATTATTTGTAGAATCTGTTCTAGATCTATTGGTAAATAGTGTGCTTGTGGCAGATTGGGATACAGGCAGCAATTAGAGAATCTATTTGTAGAATCTGTTCTAGATCTATTGGTAAATAGTGTGCTTGTGGCAGATTGGGATATACGCAGTAAACACAAGGAGGACCAGAAAGTACAGTCTTGAAGAGAGGTTGCTTCTTTGATGTATTATTCTGTTGTACTGTATTTCCTCTGATATTACTGTGGCTGGTGGGTACCTCATGAAATGGCAGGTGAATGTGGATGGAGAAAGTCAATGCTTTTTTTTTTCTTTTGAAGCAGCTACATGCACTAATCCTTAATGTGAACTTCATGCAGTTATCACCATGGACTTTTATTTTAAAATGTTTAACTTCAAAAATTGTGTTTAACAGTGTTTAAATCATGGAAATCTTCCTTGACCTCTAAAAGTAAATTTGCTTGAATGAGTCTTCGATATCAAATAGGGTTTAAAAAAAAAAAATTTCAGTGCTTTTTTTTATCAAGAGCTTCACTCATTCACACAAACCTGGTGCTTTGATGGCCAGTACTGGGCATACTGTCACTATCTACCAGTAGCAATTCACTGTGGTTTCTCTGAAATTGTTTTCCTATATGGAAGTGAATACTGTGTATCCAAAGTGCCTTAATTTCGATACTATGCTGATTTTGTGAATGCATATACATGGCGATATCATTATGTCTCATAATCAGGTGAAAACCTGTTACTGCGTTTTATAAAGCTTCCTTGTCAACTAATCATGTTTTCTGTAATTCGGAATCCAGTGCAGTTTTTGTAACTTTTGTAAACACTATTTTTATTTTCTGTGATTGCCAGGTTCTTGAGAGGATGAAGTATTAAAACATGGAAATTAAAACATATTCTACTTTTATTTTTGAATTGTCTAATAAAACTGACTTTTTGAATTGTCTAATAAACATATCTGATGCTTAAGTATTTGTCTGTCTTAAATTTCAAGAGGTGACAACAGACTCCTGAGTGAGAGGAAAGAAAAGAGAAACAACATATCCAGTGGTGTTTTCATAATGGTGTTGTAGCTGTCAGGCATGGCCACAGTAGGAGGTTAATGAGCAGTTCAAGTGTCTCTTGTACCGGTATTTATTTCTTAATTGCTTTGTAGTGAAATGGGGTCTTCAAGTGCATTCTTGGTATTGGGACCCTTGGGGACTATTTTGCCAGGTGTTCTTTCTCCCAGAGCTCCTTCACATCTTTTTCTGGAGATACAAGTAAGTGCTTGTGGTTCTTGGCTCTGCAGAGGCTTTGGTACTTGGCTTCTTGGTCATCAGGAAGGTCGGTCAGCGCTGATGAGGTCAAAACATGGGGGAACAAAATTCAGAAGCTATGATCTAATTGCAATAGGTGGGATTACTGTTATGTCATGCATTTTGTAGAGGTCGTATTCAAATATGCAGGTAAATTATCATCACTTATCTCTTATGTACATGGTAAATCTGTGAGCTTTTTAAAGGCATTCAAAAAAATATGGTATATAAGATAATACTTGACCTCTTCCACTTTTCTTGCTTCAAAAGAGTCTAGAGTAAGATACATCTGCTCTGTCAGCACTGATGGAACCAGGGATGCAGAAGGCATCAAAGCTCGCTCTCTTTTCTAGGTCAGTACTCCTGTAGTTAAGTTGGTGAATATATTAAGTGGGTGATTTTGATCCCACCAGTGCTTGTGAAAATGAAGCCGCCTCAGTTATTTTAATCAATTTGTGAAAGCACCCACCATCAGGAGAAGAAGGCTATAGCGTCTGTTTCTGAATAGCTGATGCTTTCTGTTTACAGCAATGACTTGAGCATCTAAGCTTTGGAGAAGGTGAGTATATTTGCTCTTTGAATCAGTTAGCTGCTGGCTTTGCCCTGTTTTGCAAGATGAATGTTTGGGATTGCTGTTCTGTACTGCCTAGCCCAACTAATGCTTTGCATATAGAGTAACTTCAGGCTCTAGGCTTGGTTCCTGAGCTCCCTTATTTAACCTGGTTCTGGATTTGCTAGTATTATCTGTATGGTATAACTCTATCCCTCCCACCCTTGTTCTTGTAGCTGCTTGTTTTTGTAGTTAACAGAGCTGTTCCCTGTCAACTTAGCTGGACAAAAAAAATAAAATACGCATAAGGGGTCAGGAGCAAGGGGTACTGGTCACAGTCTTGCACTGGTTTTGTAGTCTGTTCAGTCTGTTAAGAAAGCTGGTAACCTTCCTAACCAGTTATGACCTTGGGTAGCTTTCTAAAAACTTTAAACAGACTTCAGTCCCATAAAATGAATGTAAGCTCATTAATACCTGGGAGTTAACCAAACAAACTTGTCCTAGTAAGCCACATGTAGATTTTTATTGTTAAACTGAAAATTATGTAAAGCTCTAAAATGATCTCTATAACCCTGATCTCAGTTATTAACACAGCATGACTTTTAAGATACTGCATCATTTACTCTGCAGGGATTGTTTCTGATCTATGATAATGGATGAAAAGACTATTTCATTAAGCTGGATGCACACCAGGTACTAATGACTAATTGATTTGTTTAAGTGGTCCCTGCCAATACATGACCAGTATGTACTAGAGGGCTTTACAGGGAGGTGTCTCTTGATAAAACATGTAAGGAAGCATTGACTGGTGAATTGTGATTAAATTTTAAAGATCAGCTGGACACTCTTAGAGAAACATTTTCTTCAATGGCCTGTTCCTATATTTATCTCTTTGTTCTATTGTTTTGCTTTTGTTCTTTATGTTGAGGCTTATTTCAGCTGTGTCTCTGGGTTATTTTCAATAATTGGTTACAATTATTTATGCCCCATGACTAGTACTTCAGCCCGAGGTACTTCACTTATTTTTTGGGGGGAATTACTGCTTCCCATAGACTAGTTCTAGATTTTAACAAATATTCTGGATACTGCTTCTTTCTAATGGCTCGTTTTAAATGGACTGGTTGATTGTTCCCTGCTTCTGCTCCTGTGAGGGTGATCATCTCTTGTCTGCCTGTGCAGATGGCTTGCTTCCTGCTGGCCCTCAACACTTGGAGGTCCTTATGGCCATCTATGAGGCAGATACTGCTGGGGAGAGCACAGGGATTATAAAAACATACTGTTTCCCCCAAAAAAATCCTTATATGATAGGAGGAGGATTGTTTTCAAAGTGAGATTAAACCTATGGCTTTGTTTAATAAAGTAATATATGTATAATGAACATAATTGTGCAAAATTGCACATAATATAGTCTTGATTTGGAGTCTTTGCATATAGGGAAGACTTCTTCCTGTGAAACATGCTTATAACATTGCTGTCTATTAAAATGAAGAATTTCAAGTATGTAGTTACAGCAGTCCTCCTGGGTGTTGTGATCTGAAACCCTGATACTTTCTTTGTTAGCTGTTTGCCTGCTAGCAGCTGAACTGGCATTCAGTGGTGAAAGTTGCCTGTGTTATATTGTATTTTTAATTGCATGTTTTCCCAGGGAATACTTATAAAATTAACTGCTCACTCTTGTGGAGTTTAAAAAAATCAACACCCCACCCCACCCCCCAAATCACATTCAAGTTATATATAGTTCATTCAAAACCCTTAAGTGAAGAATAAAGTGCTGAGCCTCAAACAGAGCTCAAGGCAAAAAGGGATGTTGATGTCTCCTGGTAGGTCCAGGAGGTCAGCTGAGGCTATCGATGTCTGTGAATTTTGGTTTTATCACTTGCTTTGAGCTTCATTTTCCAGCATACTGGCTAAGGTTCTCTGATTTTCTTGGTCAATATGAATAAATGACAGATGCTGCTTGGATGTTTTTGTTTGCTTGAGGATTTGGAGGCAAGTTAAACAGTATTTATCATGCTTTACAAAGCATATGCTTGGAATAAGAGGATTGATCATGACATTTATGTGTTTTGCTTACCCTTTGTTGTGACTGTTTGATCTGGGCTGTGACTTTGTTATTCATTTAATTCCTGCCTAAGACTGGTATTTCACAATATAATAGGAGCCTTTGTTACCAGTCTTCCATCTTTAAAAAAAAAAAAAAAAAGCGCCTTTACACAACATAGAAACAAAAGCTGCAATAGTTGTAACTTACTGGCTACTGATCAAGTTCTCCCCTTTTGAAGCTGGTGGGAATTTGCTGTTGGGGTCGATGGGGTGAGGAAGGAGAGATGAAAGAGGCCTAATCCCATTAGATGCTGAAACCCTTCATGTCTGAGGGCAATCTGTGAGCGTGCTTATGAGTCACTTCTAAGGAATAGACTGTCCATCTTGTCTGAGTGTCTGTTTCTTCTGGCTGCGCTACACAGGATATGGGGGTAATGTCGGCTACAAAAATCCATATGCCTGTATTTTAACAGAGGGCACTTCAGTCCAGGAGAGGATTTAACAGCTTGTCCTTGTTTCTAGTAACATGGCTCAGTGTCACCCTGCATGGCCAATCTTTATTTGGTATTTTTCTAACTAAATCTAACGATTGCAATGAGACATTAGGATGTTTTGAACAACTCCATGATGATAAAACAATTTCCCATATAGTAAGTCTTGAAAGAGAACTCTGCTCTTAGTTTAATTTTAAGATACTAAGAAATGCAAATTATTTCTCATATGCATACATAAAGTAAATTTTACCTTTTGAATCAGATAATACAAAATAGGCAGTATTATGCCTATAGGCATAATATAGGCAGTCCAGAGTATGCTATCTCTTCATTCATTCAAAGAAGATTGCATTCTTAACAAATATTTTGCTGTTTAATTAAAATCTACAGTAGAAAATATATTAGTTTACAAGGATCTTTTAATAGCTAGACAGATACTCATTAGAAGCAATTTTGAAATGCACGGTCTTTATCTGGTAGTCTCATAAGTGAGCAATGTGTAAAGTTAATTAGGATTCAGCAAATACCCTTAGTTAGGATTCAGATTATTTAGACACCTAAAGATTATTGCAGATGTTTCTTTGTTCCTCCCTTCTTTTACAGTGGTTGTGCCCCATCATCAGTCTGTTCTCTTCATCTTTTAGTCCTTTTCCCCCTAGGGCCCAGCCCTGCAAGGAAAGCACAGAAGGTCCCAG